ATGCAAGTTTTAAAAAAACTTACCTGCTTGGCATGTTTGCTAACAGCAGTACCAATAGGATGTTCGCTATTACTTTCAGCTGTACCCGTAATAGCCAGCAATTTTCGGAGTGTGCACACTGCGTTATCAACAAACAGATGGGTTTCAATAACCTTTGGTGCTCCTTCTGTGACTGTACCCGTTTTATCAAATATCACCGATTGTACCTAAAAGATCAAGGCATCAATGGCTTGGTATGATGCTACCGTAATCGCACATTTGTAGAATACGCATGAAACACACAACCACAGTATTACAATGTATGTATAACAACACTAATGGTTATGATGGGGTTAATATTTTCTTTCTAACAAGATAACTGCACCAGGTCATGCAAAAATGCATTATTAAATACAAAATACTGTAAATACTTTATTTTCGCTTGGAATTAATTTTCGCTGAAGTGATAATTCAATGAAAATAAAATCCAGCGAATATACCCTTTTTTTCTATATTTTACATTCAAAACACCCAAAAAGTCTTTTCAGCGAAAATTAATTCCAGCTAAGATAAAGTATTTTACAGTACTTTTATTTAATGAATGTCACAGTAAACTTTGTGCTCTTGTTTTTACTGATTGAAAAAGGTGTAAAAAAAAACATTACTCATGGAACCATCAAAGATGGATTTTAGATCAGCAATCACACATTGTAATAAAACTAATTTATTCGTTATACCAGGTAGATGCCAATTTACATTTCGCAGTGAGTATTAACATTTCACCAGGGCATGCTATACCTAAACGTACCAGTACTGTATGGGCCAATCTCGGGAGAATAGGAATACACTCAGGGGACCAAGTGAGGTGTCATGCAATTGTTTACCTTGTGGGCCATCTCGAGGGGTTCACCACCCTTTATTAAAATCCCATTAGTTGCACCAACACCAGTTCCAACCATTACTGCTGTAGGAGTGGCTAAGCCTAAAGCACAGGGGCAAGCAATGCATAATACCGATATGGCACATCTGAATGCAAACTCCCAGATTACTTCATTATGGTTTCTTCCACTGTCAACCTATAAAAGAACGTCCTTTGTAATTAAAACGTGCGCGCAAATGGAAAGTGTACATAAATTCTATTTTACTAATTTTATATGTACCCAGTTGTAGGTGTTACATATATTTAGTAATGGTACGATGCAGAATTACAAACACAGAATTTTGATCATACCGTACTAGTAGATGCTAGACCAACATTGCCTCTAGAGGGCGTTTGAGCATCAAGTTAATGCTTACCATCATACCGTCTGTCAAGTTAGAATACTTCCTGTATCCCAGGCATACATGCACCATTAATGTCAGGAGAGATAATAAAACTATTCCAGGAACAAAGTACGCAGCAATCCTATCAGCAAGTCTTTGAATTGGGGCCTGTGAGAGAAAGATGGACAAAGAATGATAAATTAATTGTAGAAGGTGCTATGAAGAGAGACTGAAGAATATGGCACTATGGAGAAAATGAAATAAAGGGCAATATGAATAAAACGGAATAGAGGGCAATATGAATAAAACGGAATAGAGGGCAATATGAATAAAACGGAATAGAGGGCAATATGAATAAAACGGAATAGAGGGCAATATTAATAAAACAGAATAGAGGGCAATATGAATATAACAAGTCATTGAAAATGACACAGTCGCCATAAAATTTTTGAAAGTTCTATTTGTGCTCGTCATTTTAAAGCAGAGGGGTTGTCGCGAGCGTGTCCTTGAAACTTGAGTTCCAAGTGGCGTATACAACAGATTGTTTATTTACATCAAAACACGTGTTTTGTGTAGTAGGAATATGGCCAAAAATAAAAACAGCCGTTATTCGGCCATCTTTGATTTGATTATGAAACACACTGATATGTATGATGTATGTGCCAAATACGAATGAAAATGGTACATAAATTGTGGAAATATAGTAGTAAGGCCAAAAAGTCAGATGGCTGTCAATCGGCCATCCTTGACCAGATTTTGAAACAAATTGTCATTGACATGCATCCTAACATGTATAAAGTACATGTATGTGCCAAATTTGAATGAAAACTGACAGAGCACGTCCAAGATACCGCATAAAAAAGAAAAAAAAACTAAACCACTGCATGTGCATATGTCCCACATAAAGTACTAGGCACATGCAAAGAATGAACGGAATCGGTCCAAGGGATTCTGAGATATGACTCTGGACGGGTGCACGGACACACAGACGCACAGACGGACGGACGGACGGACGGACGGAGACTGAATTATAAGTCCCCGGATTGAATAGAAGGTGATATGAAGAGAGAATGGAATATAGGGCGATATGAATAAAACGGAATAGATGGCAATATTAAGAGAGAATATAATAGAGGATGATATGAAGAGAGGACGGAATAGAAGGCAATATTAAGAGAGAATGGAATAGAGGACGATATGAAGAGAGAATGGAATAGAGGACAATATGAAGAGAGGATGGAAGAGAGGGTGATATGAAGAGAGGAGGGAATAGAGGGTGATATGAAGAGAGGAGGGAATAGAGGGTGATATGAAGAGAGAATGGAATAGAGGACGATATGAAGAGAGGATGGAATAGAGGACGATATGAAGAGAGGATGGAATAGAGGGCGATATGAAGAGAGAATGTCATAGAGGGCGATATGAAGAGAGAATGTCATAGAGGGCGATATGAAGAGAGAACGGAATAGAGGGCGATATGAAGAGAGAACGGAATAGAGGGCGATATGAAGAGAGAACGGAATAGAGGGCGATACAAAGATCTCCACCATTAA